TTTGAGGCCACAGAAGCTTGTTTGGCTGGTTCGTTTTAACATTTGAAGTGTGCTCTGAACATGGACTGCTGGCCACAAACCCACAGAAATTACCTTTTATACTACCTCCCAAATAATTGGAATAGGGCTGAAAAACAGACTTAACTTTGAAGATTCAAATTTAAATTCCAGCTGTGTCAACTGCATAAAAGTCACTCAGTGTTTCCAGCTTTGGTTTCCTTATTTGGAAGAAAATGAGATAATCCTAGATAAGTAATTCTCAATTGATGGGGCAAGGGGCAGAATAAATTCCCCTAAGAAGACAGACACATTTCTCATTACTCTCAATCCAAGAATCATTGCATAGCACTCCATGGCTACTGATGTGAAATCACAGTACTTTACAGGTCTAGCTGATCCATCATGTTCCTGTAAGTTAAAACTCTAAGGGTATTTTATCAATACCCTTAAAACCTTACTATTGAAGCAAGGTTTTTTGAATTTCAAAAGTCTGAAAAATGCTTGGTCAAGTGTTTGACTTCTAGATGGCTGTTTAGAAATTCTAATAGAAAGGTAAATTTTTCCTCTTAAGGTCTTTCAGAGCTGACCACAAGAAGCCCAGTGTACTCACGTAGCTCACTGCTGGGTTAGCACCATTTTTACTACTTCTGGTTCCCAAATGGTGTCTTAAGTTAAATATATCCTTATATAATAATACATGCTTGGTAAAAAATTAACCACCTCATATCCTGCATAGGGATGTGGTCTTCATGCTCAAGAGTTGACTGAAAGAAGAAAGGCTATGGAAGACATGCAGAACCACTGCACTCATGTCAAATTATGGCCTTTTATAAAGGCATAACTGCATGCTCCCCACGTGTACATCAATGTCTGCTGCATACATTTTAAAAATAACTGTGATATACAATTCTGTAAGTCTTTTTCCACTCATGAATATATGATATTTTCAACATTACAAATACCACGTAAATACACTTTAAAACTGAGATAATTAGCAAATGACATATTAGTTTCACGTGTACATGATTTGGTATGTGTATATACTGTGAAATGATCACCTTAAGAAGTCTAGTTAACATACACCACTGCACATAATTATAAATTTTCTTTCTTGTGATGAGAACTTTTAAGATTTACTCTATCAGGAACTTTCAAATATGCAATACTACATATCACCATACTATAAATTACATCCCCAGGGCTTCTTTATTTTATAACTGGAATTTGTACTCTTTGACCACCTTCAGTCATTTTGCCCACCCCCCCACCACTGGAACTATCAATCTGTTCTCGGTATCTGAGTTCAGTGTTATAGAGGGACTTCCTAATTCTTATGGCTGAATAATATTCCACTGTGTGTGTATATGTGCATTTTTCTTTATCCATTCCTTGATTGATGGGCACTTGGCTTGTTTCCATGTCTTGTCTATTGTGAATAGCTGCAATAAACATGGGAACACTGGTATCTTGAGTTGGCATTTTCATTTCCTTCAGATAAACACCCAGAAATTGAATTGCTAGGTCAAATGGTAGTTCTATTTTTAATTTTTTGAAGAATCTCCACACTGTTTTCCATAATGACTGCACCAATTTATATCTCCACCAATAGGGCACAAGTATTCCTCACCACCACTTGTTATTTCTTGACTTTTTGATAAGAGCCTCCTAATAGGTGTGAGGACATATCTCATTAAGGTTTTGATTTGCATTTCTCTGATGACTAGTCATGTTAAGCATCTTTTCATGCACTTATTGGCCATCTGTATGTCTTCTTTGGGAAAATGTCTGTTTAGCTCCTCTGCCCATTTTTTAATCAATTGTTTGTTTTTTCTATTGAGTTGTAGGAGTTCTTTATATATTTTGGATATTAAACCCTTATCAGATGTATGATTTCCTAATATTTTCTCCCATTTAATAGGTTGCCTTTTCATTTTATTGATGGTTTCTCCTTTACTGTTTAGAAGCTTTTTGGTTTGATGTAGTCCCACCTGTTTATTTTTGCTTTTGGTATCAAAGCCAAAATATCATTGCCAAGACCAATGTCAAGGAGGTTCACTTATGTTTTCTTCTACTTTTGTGGTTTCAAGTCTATTTTCAAATCTTTAATCCATTTTGAGTTGATTTTTGTGACTGGTGTTAAGAAAGTGGTCCAGTTTTCCCAGCACATTTATTAAAGAGACTGTCCTTTCTCTATTATCTGTTCTTGCCTCCTCTGTCATAAATTGTCTATATATGTAAGAATTTATGTCTGGGCTCTCTATTCTGTTTCATTCATCTATGTGTCTTTTTTTATGTCAACACCATACTGTTTTGATTACTGATTTTAGCTTTGTAATATAGCTTGAAATCAAGAAGAACGATGCCTCCCACCTGTGTTCTTTCTCAAGATTATTTTAGCTATTCTTTTGTGGTTCCATACAAATATCAGGAATTAAATACTTTTCAATGATCACAAAATATTTCATCAAGTTGATTTATGATTATTTAAACATGTCAGTTTCCATATAAAAGGGATTTTTCAAGAGAAATACTGCCTTTAAGGAACTTAACAAAAAAAGTCAAACTGGAAATGTTTCTAGACTATGTTTCTACAGTAACTCAGTTTTTTTTCCCAAGTGACATTCAGTGATCATTTTAATCTTATTTTCTCTCATGATGTGACTTGTTTGAAGACAGGTGATGGGAATATCTGGTTTCCTAAATTCAGATGATTCCTACTTAGAATGCCTAAACTGACAAGTGTCCTTGACTTCTTTTCCACATCTAATCTGCACAAAAGGAAAAGAAATCCATTCTGGACATTCCCAGATTCTTGGTAGTGCCCAGACTCTAACCTGTCTTTGCTGTACCTGACATATTTTATCCTTAATGCTTTTTATATTCCTATGTGTCTGACCTCAGTTTAGCAAAATGACTGAAACTTCACTTTCTATTTATTGCTTCTGCTTTACTCAGATCCCCAAGCCCATACTTTAGATCTTAGCAAGAATAGTGGAAGGTACAACAGCTGTGAAATCAGATCTGGATTAGAATTCTGGTTCCATCAACAGCTAAGAGATTTCAGGCAAATTCTAATTCCTATATATGCTTCAGTATTCTGAGTTGTAAAGTGTGGATAATAGTATCTGCCACAAAGGTGTACTTGTGTATTAGACAGGAAAGTTTACTGAAAGTGCCTACCTAACACAGTGCCTGACACACTGCAAGCTTTTATAAACAGTGGTTACGACTGTCACCATTACTATTATTGCTCATGTTTCCTTAACCTAGTTTGGAATTGGCATTCTTGACCCTTGACTTGTACCTCAAGATTACTGATGCCAAAAAGATGTAGAAAGAAAAAAGCAAGCCCCTCTCTGACAAAGGAATCTATGAATTTAAGACTATTCAACTGGAAAAGGAAGACAATCACTAATCACAAAAATTAAAGAGGAAACTCAGCAAGAATCAACTAGGTGTTGAGGCAGGAATGTTGACTTGAATAGAAAGCAAATGAAGTCTCCGTTGACATATAGAAGTACACAGAAATCTCTTACTGGCATTTAAAAAACTGAAATAAAACAGAGCTTTTCAGTGGCAATCTAGTTTCCATGGGGAGTTATTTTTCCAGATAGCATAAAATTAGTTTCCTATCTTAAGCTGCACCTGCTAGATCACTGACATTTGTATTATTAAGTCTCTGGACCTAAAGTGCTTTCAATGTGAATTTTCCTCCTACTATGCCCATCTGTTCTTTTCTTGTGGGCCCAGAGGAAGCCAAGACTTAATAAATATTCAATTCTCAGACTTCTTTATGATATTTTCATATAAGCATTTATATTCACTGAGGAAAATTATAAGTGTGCGTGCAGAAACTTAACTCACACTTGATTTTCCTTTCCTCATTTTCCAAGTGGTCATTATTTTTATGGAAGACTAAAAAGTCAACGTATGTATGAGTGAAGCCAAGAAAAACAAATGATTATAACTTTAAAAGGTAAATTTGTCAGGGTGGTAAGTGATCTCTGATATGTGACAACACCAAGATGTCTTATTTATATAATATTAGATAAATTTATGATCTCCCGTGCTAATGAGAGCAGGGCCAGCTCAGATGGGGGTAAGGCATCAAGGCTACTGCCTCCTCATCGCTGGTCCTCAAGTTCAGCAGTGACCTCTTTCACATTTCACCAAGTGATGCTGCAACTCCACCCATCCTGGTTGGGGCCATGGTGAGATGACTTTCCATGATGACTTTCCCTGCCATGCCATCAAGCTGGCAAGATTAAAATTATCCATACCTAAGCCCTCTTCAGGTAGTGTCAATATTTGACTAAATGCTCATTTTACTTTATTTTATTTATTTATTTTTTTTTTTTTAATTTTTTTTTTCAACGTTTATTTATTTTTGGGACAGAGAGAGACAGAGCATGAACGGGGGAGGGGCAGAGAGAGAGGGAGACACAGAATCGGAAACAGGCTCCAGGCTCCGAGCCATCAGCCCAGAGCCTGATGCGGGGCTCGAACTCACGGACCGCGAGATCGTGACCTGGCTGAAGTCGGACGCTCAACCGACTGCGCCACCCAGGCGCCCCAATGCTCATTTTACTTTAAAAAGCACAAGTTCGGGACACCTGGGTAGTTCTGTCAGTTGAAGTACTGACTCTTGATTTCAGCTCAGGCATGATCCCAGGGTTGTGGGATCGAAACCCGTGTCAGGCTTCAGGCTGAGCATTGAGCCTATTCGAGATTCTCTCTCTCCCTCTGCCCCTCTCCCCCACTCACAATCTCTCTCTAGGAAAAAAAAAAAAATCACAAGTTCAAAAACAAGGTAAAACCAGCAAAGAAATGGATGGTTGCTACATTTAAACTACCACAAACCACAAACAAGTTCAAGGTATTTACAAATATTAGACACAGCATGGCTACTTAAAAACCCCTTGGCAGGCAACATTCTGGAGGAAAGGGTTATTTATTGACAGGCTTACATCAGACAAAACAGAAAAAAAAAACAAAACTACCTCAGCAGCTGCAAAGCTGATGCATACTCCTCTGAATCCCATATGTTCTTTTCTAAACAAGTGCAGTACAGCTCTCTGATCTGTAAGTATAAAGCACACTTGTAAGGAACCAAAAGTGATGTACTAAGTTACACACTGCTCATTTGACAAAATCATAAATGGTCAAGACAAAAAAATAAATATTATTAAAAACAATCATTTTCTTTAGAGGACAACAGACTGGGCACACATCACATAGGTCAGGCTATATAAGAATACCATTTACATAAAAGCAACATGAGACTACATTGGGACTGGCTGATAATACTGATCACACTGCAATAAGAAAATAATAAAATAAAAGCAATATGGGATTATTAAAAAGAAAGCTTAATGGCAGAAATCCTTTCATAAACAAATCATTCCTATGTATTTAGATTTGTTCTCTAAACCTTTATTTATTTACTTATTAGAGAGAGAGAGAGAGAGAGAGAGAGAGAGAGAGAACATG